ATCAAATAGGCTGAAAGACTTCTGGATTAATAATTATTGTTTGATTAAAATGAGCAAAAAAACAGGTTCCACGGAAGTAGTTGAAGACCTCAATCCTAGGTCACACTGAATGTAATTAAGCTCCTGCAAGGCTGGGACGGTTGGAGAAGGGTGCAAAGACAGACAACCAAGAAAATTCCAGTCATTTCGATGTACTTCAACTAATCATCATTCAATGTGTTGCATGTTTGTGGGTGGATCAGGAAACGCTCAGTTTAATCCAGTTTGAGACATGATTTGTCACTGTAGCATTTAATTTTTTGGAGAAAGATTCTCATGTTTGTGAGAGTGACGAAATACAGGCATAGTATTGCTACCACGATGCTTACATTTTCAGAATAAAAAAGTTTATGCGGATTTCAATTACATTTGCAATGTAATTTAAAGAGCCCATGTTTTGCTTGATGCCAGAATCATTGCGGGTGGAACCCCCCTTTTCTTGACTTGCATGGTCACACCTTCTGTTTTGGCTTATGTGAAGTTGGCACAACCACGCCGATGAAGGGAGAATATGCATAAAACTAAAGCACATAACTTTTTAAGCACTTTTTTTGACTTACGCTCCTGATGAGAGAATAGACCCTTTTATTGTGTAACAGTAATCACTACATACCAACACAGAATCTTGCCTAAAATCAAGTACAATGCATTTCCTAGATTCAGCCTTTGCTTTCTGAATGGTGAAAGAAAATCTAAAATGAAATGCATAAATTTTACACTAAATCATGATAATTTTTTAATTATTATTTGAAGATCACACTCTGATGGATGGGATTTTGCTAGTGTCAGGATTTCTGATTTCTTAATTGTCTCAGCTGTTTTGTAATGTGTGCAAATTTATCACGTCCCATCATAATGTGTATGTTTTCCCATCAAAGAATAATCTTGCATTGTAGATGTAAATGTTCCACCCCTGCTCTTTCCAGAATGCTGCTTTGTGATCCAAATGCAAATATTTCACTCCAAGCAATCACTCAGTTCCGCTTCCTTTTTTGTTCTTCGGTAGTGTCAGCCTGGGGTCTGGGGAAGGCATGGTGGTACAGATGTCTGTGATTAGCAGCAGCACTGTAAAGCTTGAAAAGAGCCTGTGGGAAAGGAAAGGCCTACAGAACTGGTCCTCATCAGATGAACAGATTATTGTACATATAAAAGCCACCCCATCCCTTCTTACCTCATTTGTGCTTCCCTTTGGGACAACAGAAGAAAAGAGAACAGTATGTTAAAATCAGTATAGCATACTGTCCTTAGTATGTCACAGAACAACCAGGAGATACTGCCGTGGCCAAAAGTTTTGAGTGACACAAGTACTGGTTTTCGCAAAGTTTGCTGCTTCAGTGTTTGTAGATTTTTTTGTTTCTGTGGTATACTGAAATATAATTAGCATTTCATAAGTGTCAAAGGTTTTTATTGACAGTTACATTAAGTTTATGCAAAGAGTCAATATTTATTTCAAGACCTCTGCAATTCGCCCTGGCATGCTGTCAGTCAACTTCTTGGCCAAATCCTGACTGATGGCAGCCCATTCTTGCATAACCAATGCTTGGAGTTTGTCAGAATTAGTGGGTCTTTGTTTATCCACCTGCCTCTTCAGGATTCACCCCAAAACTTCAATGGGATTAAGGTCTGGGGAGTTTCTTGGCCATGGACCCAAAATGTCGATGTTTTGTTCCCTGAGCCACTTACAGTAGGTATCACTTTTGCCTTAAGCATGGTGCTCCATCATGCTGGAAAAGGCATTGTTTGTCACCAAATGGTTCTTGGCTGGTTGGGAGAATTTTCTCTCGGAGGATGTTTTGGTACCATTCTTTATTCATGGCTGTGTTCTTACGCAAAATTGTGAGTGAGCCCACTCCCTTGGCTGAGAAGCACCCCACACATGAAATGGTCCCAGGGTGCTTTAATGTTGGCATGACACAGGACTGATGGTAGTGCTCACCTTTTCCTATGCAGTCAATCTTTTTTCCGGATCCTCCAAACAATCGGAAAGGGAATTCATCAGAGAAAATGACTTTACCCCAGTCCTCAGAGGTCCAATCGCTGTACCTTTTGCAGAATATCAGTCTGTCCCTGATGTTTTTCTTGGAGAGAAGTGGCCTCTTTGCTGCCCTTCTTGACATCAGGCCATCCTCCAGAAGTCTTCATCTCATTGTGCGTGCAGATGCACTTACACCTGTCTGCTGCAATTCCTGAGCAAGCTCTGCATTGGTGGTCCCCCGATCCCGCAGCTAAATCAACTTTAGGAGACGATGTTCAAGATTCTTTCTTTGGCGCCCTGAAGCCTTCTTCACAAGAACTGAACCTCTCTCCTTGAAGTTCTTGATGATCCGATAAATAGTTGAGAAATGATGAATGCACATGTTTCCTTGCAGAAAACCATGGTTAACAGAGGAAGAAATGTTTTTTTGGGATTAACAATTTTCATGACAAAGAAGGGCTTTGCGATTAATTGCAATTCATCTGATCACTCTTTATGGTATAAACAAAAATTGGCATCATAAAAACGGAAGCAGCAGAAATTAATATTTGTGTCATTCTCAAAGTTTTGGCCACAGCTGTATATCTCTATCTGTTAACACAATAAGCGAAAGATATAGACCACCCTGAATCTAATTCTAATGGTCTAGAATCCCATAGGATTTTATGAACAAACTAGATTTTTGATGAAATTGATTTTTCTGACTGCTCAGATAAACGAACTTCGTACATACTGTACTACAAAAAATATACAATGCATGGAATAAATGTAGTGAAATCCTTGGGTCATCATATATACTGTGGAAAAAAAAAACTTTTTCACATCAGGAAAATTATGGATGACATTCACTGTGCCATTTAGGAGGTACAGCACATGTTAAACTAAAGGTATTTGACTGTACTGGGAATTCTGCCATGAGAGATTAGTAAGGCAGTTATGGATTAGTAGTGTGTTGTTACCTGGTCCCAGAGGGCTCCTGCTACCTGGTCAATAACAGCACCAAGCTCACGGTATTCCCCAGAGTACCGGATGTAGGCCCAGGTGCAGAGTGTGATCAGTGCCAAGCCTAGAATCATGTTACAAACACTGGCAATGATATCCACACCAACAAAGCCAGTCACCCCGGCTATCACATACATGACAAAGATGACAACAAAGAGAGTGGCAGGGGTTCGAGCAGCGTGAAAGATGTTCTTGGAGTCATTGTGCTTGATATACTGAATGAAGACCTCGTCCACCTCTGCCTCCAGCTGCTGCAAGTAACGGCGACTGAACTCCTCCCCACCCATCTTCTTCACTCCTTTAAAGAGCTGTAGTGCCTCTTCCCGGATCTCTCCATGGCGAGCCTGTAGTTCATTAGGGGCTAGGAAGGGTCGGTCGCCTCCACATATCTTACACCTCCATCCTGTGCAGTACTTATAACATCTAAATTGTTGTACCAAAGTAATAATTTACGTCACATGATGTGTGTGTGTTAAAGTATAAATCAGTCATTAATTTATAAACTTGCTTTAGAATCACAATTTTAATACCATCTGACTCCTCTTACCCCTTCCATCTTTCTATTGTACAAGTCCTTAGCTGCTGCAACTGCTGCCAGGTTATTAGCTTCTGCTGTAGCCTGAACGACAAAGAAAATCAAGATAGTAAAATAATTTTATAGATGAAAAACTGTTGACTGGTATTTTCAACTGGGTAAACAGTTTTGAGGTAACATCAATCATTTTCATGATTTTCTGACAATGCTTTACCAGTCGTACATGAAAATATGAAAAAAAACTATTGGACAAAATAAACCATCTTGTGTCTATGAACATAAATGTTATGTGTCATAATTATTACACACCTGTAGCATTGATTTTGGATGAGGTAGTTCTTCTCCTTGATAAATCTTTATATATGCCTACAAAAAAGAAGCGTAATGGTGTCACCCTACTATTTACAGAATATATATCATACAGTTATTGCTAATACAATTGTTAAATCATATTAAAATATTAATACAGAGCTATACGTTCCACATACAGCAGCAGTTTCAGATTGAATCACGTGATATTCTGGCATTTGTCTTCAACTTGTCTGTACTATGAAGCTAACATGCATACTGTAAATTGCATGATGATATGTATAACTGACTCACTCTTGTCTCATATTAGAATAATTGAGCTTACAAAAAATTATTTCAAGCAACTAATGTTGCTTGAACCCCTAATTACACAATTTGATGGAGTGTATGTGCATGGGGGGTATTATTTACTCAGGTGACTGTCATGTTTGTTTTTCTTCCAACATAAATATATGTTCAAATTTCAATCTTAATTTAATTAAATATTATGTAATTTTTAATATTAGTTACAGTCACAAGTCTACATGCTGGAAGCTAGGCTTATATTTTACTCATATTTTGCTGTAAATACTTAAAAAACAAAATAACAAAATGCATTATTGAAAAGAAAAACAGTTAATAGCAGTGTTCAAGCAGCTTGGAAATTGCTTCAAGGGGTACTCACTAAATACAGTGGTACCTCAGAACTCGAATTTAATCCGTTCAGGACTCCGGATCGAATCCTAAAAAGTTAGAGTTCTGATCGAATTTTCCCCATAAGAAATAATGGAAAACCAATTAATTGGTTCCCAGCCCCAAAAAATTACACCTAAATATATTTTTTTTTAGCATTTAAACACAAAATGAACTGGATAAAACAAGAAGAGCATATACTGTACTAAACACATCTAAACACATTTATCAAAACAGTGATTTGTAAAGTAAGAAAATAAATGTATCCAAACAATGTGTCCTACCCCGATCGTCCGCGCCTTCCGTGTGCCACGCCCCCTCGTTAACCCCGAGTGGAATCCCCGTGTGATCAGCTGTTTCTGGTTGTTGTCATTAGTCCTCCGTATTTTGTCCGCGTTTCAGTTTGTTTCCCCAGTCTGGTCATTGTATTGTCCGTCTGCGTTTTGCTTGCCTTACCTGTAATTAAACCCCATATTGCCCGATACCCTGACGTCTGCGCCTTTGTCTCAGTTCAGAACCCCGCTTGGCACAACAATATTATTATAATTAAACGTATTAATGGTTTATTATTAATATTAAAATTATGAATAAGAAATCTTTATTTTTAAATGTATTTTATTATATAATAATAATTACTGTTACTGTCTATCATTGTCTAAATGTATTTTTACTGTCTAAATACATGTATTCAGCTAGTGTAAACATGCACGATGCTATCACAGCTAATGCGAGGATGAGACTGAAGCTTTACCCTTTGTTTCCGCTGAGAGACGTGCCGCGACTAATTTCCCCGTGCTTACAAGTTATCTTAGGTCGCCGTTCACGGTTTGACTTCTGAGATTCAGATCGAGCTCTAGGTAATCTTTTTTCGACCTGGTTGGTTCGACTTTTAAGAAATTCGAGTTCTAATGAGTTCGAGAACTGAGGTACCACTGTATCACTGAACATCACTCAACAACATCTTTTCAGTTACCATGAGATAGGATGGTGGGTAGCATTTCTTTTACTCACTTGTCCAGTTAGTCTCATTCAGTCTTTGAGATTATAGTCTGGAGATTAAGCAAGCCAAGTAATTAGTTTTATTTGTCCTTTACTTTCCTTCTTCAGTAGATAGTAGGGGTGGCACGGTTCACAAAACCCACGGTTCGGTTTGTATCATGGTTTTAGGGTCACGGTTTCGGTTACGGTTCTTGTTATTTTTTCTTTTAATCTTTAACACTCCAGAAATATACTTCAGCATATGATA